TATAAGTTGTTACAGTGAGTGCAGGGTGTGAAAATGTAACCTCTGCTTTGGTAGTATTTTCTACAGTGACACATATGATAGTTACATTTATGTCAGTTTCTTCAAGAGTTTATATTTGGTCCTATTTTTGTCAGACGTGGAGGCCTAAAGGAAACCACTGGGAACTGCTGCAGAGATTTGTCTAGAACCATGAAAGTGACTGACATGTACAAGTGTGCACATATAAAGCACTGAACAGAACTTGTGCAGATTGCTAACCATACTTTTTTGTTTGGTCTAACAATGACAGAAAGACATTCAAGTGAGATGGTCCCTTATTTTCTTAATCAGCATTTGTAAGTGTAGTTTTTCTGTCATGTCATATTTACGTAAGAATGTGCTTTATTTTTGTAACCACTTTGCATTAGTACACACGTTTTCCTGGAAATGCTGTACATGTAGATGTACAAAATAAATCATTAGTTCAGCTTTGGGACACTTGTTTTTGTTTATGTGAGTTTGTTTTTATGTGTTTGGTGGGATTTTCCATTTCACTGGGGAACTGAGATAAATTGTGATATTCTAGACTTATACTGTACATATAACATTGACCACTGGTTAGCACTGTCCTCTTTACAAAGATTTTGAAGGTTGGTTTTGACTTCTGCAAAAAAAAAAAAAAATACGCTATACGCTGAAGTTTTTATCAAGTTCAATTTTCCCTTTAAAAATGTTGCTCTCACTTGAATAAGATTAACTTAATCACCTCATTCATTTTCTAGCTCATACTGTGTATGCTACACCTAGACTATCTTCCTTTATCCATGAACAGTCATAAAGAGATTGTGATACAGAGATCACAAGAGAGGCCGAGGCCAAGCTCTTGTGGGCCAAGAGCTTGGCCCCACAATTTGTGACTTCAAATTTCTAGATTATGGAAATTGAGATTAACTGATGTTTTCCTATTGCTGAAGTGTGATGGAACAACTGTCTAAAAATAATTTCTATCTAACCTGATACCTGCAAAAGCACTAAAGAATCTGTCGTGCAAGAAGGCTGGACGTGGACACAAGTGCAGAACACAGGCAAAAAGTTCAGTATGTTTATTGCAGGTTTTGGCAGATGTAGCCCATCTTTTGTCAGTGAAGCTGCAGAGTTTAATATGGTGGGATTGGTGAGTAGTATCTGGTATGCAGCTTAAACTTTCTAGAATCTCTCTCTCCAGTAATTCTCTGTCTAGCTGCAGCTCTCCTATTCAGCAGTGGACATCTGCACACAGAAAAACTGGTCAAAGCCAAATCAACAATTTCTTTGGTTACTCGCCCACAGGAGGCACAATTATCTAGCGTCAAATGAGGGGATGCCTCCATCTTAACTAGCCCAACTGCAGCCTAGATGTGTAATCAGTGATGCTGCTCGTGTGTGACGTAGTGAGGGTGGAGACCAGGGCAAAACTACTCTGAAACACAAAAGGACAGGAGCAGTGTCACGGGGAGGCATGTGACTTCTAAGCACATTGCAGTGGCTTTAATCTAATTTGTGTATATTGTTGCCACAATACTTTTAAAATCATGAAGAGAGCTGCCTAAAGTTTTAAGATTTGCGTTTAATCTTTTTCTTACCTCTCCTCCAGACTGCACCTGGCCTCCATCTGGCAACACCCAGGAACTGCCAAAACCAGTCTGGGTCTTTTTGGCCTCCTTTTATGGTCAAGTTCCTAGGAGGGACATAAATAATCTATTCATTTTAAACATGTACACAATTGGGCATTTTCAATATTTGATAGTAAAGGAGTGGGGGGAGCTACTGGCTATTTAGTAAGCAGTTGCAACTGCTTTCAAGGACTACTGTGTGCTAGGTCATGATGGAGACTAGTTATAGTGGCTTATTTTCAGGGGCCCTAGTTACAGGGGGTGTAGTCCAGTGCAGAGCTGTTTCTATTTGGTTTAGGATTATCTTTAAGACTTGGAGATGTGTTATTTTGGCATTGTTTCCTTAAATTATTCTTGAATGAAGACATTGATTTGATGCATGTAAGAAAAAAAAGATTCATTTGTCTTTATTGTTTCCTCCTATCTCCCTACCCTGTGTTCTCAATGAAAAAATTAAAAATAAAATAAAATAAAAAGGAGGAAAGAGATAGGAGAGAAAAGCCCAACAATTCCCCCTGAGCAAGCACTAGGTGACAGTGGGGAGGAAAACCTCCCTTTAAATAGGACGAAACCTCTGACAGAACCAGGCTCATGAAGGGACAATTAACTGCCGTGACTGGTTGGGGTGTGAGGGTGCAAAATGATGAAGAGGGAGGGGAGACCAATAGAGAGATGATTGAAGAGGAAGGAGAGAGAAAAGGTGGAGGAAGACGAGACTACGCCTCTTCATGATCAAGTGAGAAAGCAGGAGAGTCGTTCCTTTTGAAAAAGCAGAAGCGTTTTTTCTTCTTTTTCAATCACTGTTCCTGGAGCTCTGAGGTTTTTTATGTCATCGATTGCTTCTGAGTTTGCCCTCTCAACTTTCTTGCATCTTTTCTACAGTTCTTCTAATTTTGTTTGTTTTTCTTCATGCTTTTCTTTCAGTTCTTTTTTTATTTTGCCTCCTGTACTAGCTTTGCCTCGTGTCTGTATTCCTCCGTTGTACTTGGTTGTACACGTCTTCTAACTCCTGATTTCTCCAGTGCATTTTTTGAAGCGTACACTGTAGGTCTTTATGTGTTTTCTCTTGTTCTTCTTGTTCTCAGGTCTATAATCTGCTGCCGTACTTATCCAAATATTATTCCCCAGCCTTCATTTATAATCTGAATGTTGGGCTGTTATTGCGTATTGTTAATTTGTTGGTCTTGTCAGTTCATGAGGAATTCATTGTGCGTTTCTTCCAAGTGTTTATTTTGGGGCTCCATTTGTCTGCACTTCTCCTCGAGTTTAATTTTCTCTGCTTGCATTTGTTGAACCCTGTTCTCTAGATTGTGGTTTTCTTTCCTACTTTCAGCCCTTCAGATGGATAATACGTCTTCTGGGGAATTTAACTGGTCACCTCAGAGAGGAGAGTCAGGGGAAACTTTTTTTTGTGGTGTTTTCTCTGAGACATGTTGGAGTCTTGATACAGTGACTGTAGAAGATCCAATTATGGATGGATGGATAGATAGGTTGCAAAGATGACCCCCTCTCCTGCCCCGCTCACACTCTGTCTCTCTCTCACACACATAACATCTTCCTGCCCTATTTAGCAATTTAACAAGTTAAACTGGACATCTTCAACTTTCCGCACTTCTTCCTGGCTGAAGAATTACAAAATATTAATATTTTTTTTAGTTGAATAAATATCTACTATGTTACCAAAATTATTTATTATTAACCGAAAACGACTAGTGTTGTGGTAACTTTTCAAATCATTCCTTTAAGAAATGATGCAATAAACCACAATGAAAACGTAAGCGTAAGCGTAAACGTAAGTTGTCTTATTACAAGGATGCTAAAGAGGGTGGTGTCAAAATATTGTGGCACTGCTTATATGTAATTTCTGTGTATTTTACACTCTAACTCATTTTAACCCCGTGCCATAACCTTCTACGTAACCTGATATGCACCTCTCAAGAAATGTAACTACATGTCAGATTGATGCATACCACAACGACTTGAATGACATGGTTAGGACGTAGCTTTCCAGCAGAAGTCTAAATCAAGCTTTACAAGCCAAGACTGGAGCCTAGCGCAAGCTTATTATACAAACTAGCCCCACTCTGACACCAGCCCATTGGTAATTTTTATTACACTTTATTGCCCAATCAAGTCTCTTAACACAACCCTCCCTTACCTCGCTTGTGCACCCTGTAGAATTTGTCTTAGAAATAAGTTATTAACTTAACTTTATATAAGACATACGTCCTAACCATGTCATTCAAGTCGTTGTGGTATGCATCAATCTGACATGTAGTTACATTTCTTGAGAGGTGCATATCAGGTTACGTAGAAGGTTATGGCACGGGGTTAAAATGAGTTAGAGTGTAAAATACACAGAAATTACATATAAGCAGTGCCACAATATTTTGACACCACCCTCTTTAGCATCCTTGTAATAAGACAACTTACATCCCTTCAAGGAATAAAACAACCCTGAGTTCCCTGATTGATAAAAGTACCAACACAATTTTTTTTCATGCTGGATTTGTTTAGACTCACAAAAATAATGGATTTGCAGATTTCATAGGTAAGTTTGTTGTGTATCTGTCAATCTTATTAATCTCTGGCTCTTTTTCACAACATGACTTTTGTCCCGTCTTCCTCCCCTCAACCCTAACCTGTCACCGCAGAAGGCTGCCCCTCCCTGAGGCGGGTTCTGCCAGAGGTTTCTTCCCACTGTCACCAAGTGCTTTCTCATTGGGGACCATCTGATTGTTTAGTTTGTGTGTGTGTGTGTGTGTATTATTGCAGTGTTTTTACTTTGGGGTGACTGTTATTGTGATTTGGTGCTATTTAAATGAAAGTGAATCAAATCAAATTTAATTGAAATTGTTCTATATTTCACATATTGTGGAAGTGCAAGCACCAGAATTTGTGCAAGTCCATCGCTAAAAACAGTAATGCATTACACAATGACTGTATAAAATAATCAAAATACTTTATTAATCCATGATAATAAAGTAATGTGGTCACAGCTGGTCACAGACAGTAATAACTGTAACTGACTAAATTTAATTAAATATTACTAAGTTACAAAATCTAATAAAATACTTCTAATATACGTAAATAGGTTAATTATAATTATACCCCAGCACAAATTATATATATGGTTGAAATTGAGATGCCCCTCTTTTCAAACTATAAAACTTTCTTTTCGCTGTAGAGCGTGTGTATAAGGGTACACAACTATAGAAGTATGTACTTGTGCATTAGATAAAGATGACCAATGACTGATTTAACAGTCAATGGTCTCATCGCTAATTAGCCAATCTCAGTGTGACCTGGAAGTGTGCGTGGTGAAGCGGGCGGTGCCGTCTTTCTACATCCGGTATGCTCGAACCTCTCACGAGCAGCGAAGGCAGACGAAGAATGGAGAGAGCCGCTCGGCTGTTCTAGCTTGAGACAACAGCAACAACGGGCAGCACAGAAAACCTCCCCATCACAGGCGGCGTTTTTGTCTGCGTTTTTCGTTGCGAAAAACGACAAGCTGTGTCCCGACTGTCTGGATTTCCCACAGCGAAGGTGAGCCTGAGGGGTTTGCTAGCCAAGCAGCATTTAGTTGGAGGCTTTTGGTTCTTGGCTAATGTTTTCGCTGCTAACGGAGCTAATTTCCTTGTTGCACTCGGTCCAGCTGTCACCTAGCCATCAGTAGGTGCTAGTTAAGGCGTTGACACCAGGCAGAGAGAGGGGCTGCTACATTTGCTGCCCTTTAAAACTACTCGGTTTTCCTAATTAACATGAAAATGTCCATTCTGTGATTTTTCTCACACTATATTTTGAGCCAGTCCAACCATTGTGGCTAAGTAATGTTTGCTAACGTTAGCTTTATGGCTGGTCAGTCTGGTTTGACGGTGGCGTGAAGGTAATTTTATTGAGCTGATGGTTCGTTTACCTACTGCTCGACGTGACCGACACTAATGATACGGCTGGCTTTGAAGCGCTGACGTGCAGCTGCCACCTCTCTTCCTTGTTTTGATTTAACCTTAGGCCTGCTGGTAATGGATCGATCAGCCTCAGCTGCCTCTAACCAGCACTTCCTCACATAGAAAACCTAGTGCCTTGACTGCTTACTACAAGGTGAGGGATGCTCACAATAGGAAAGGTTGAACCCAGGCCCCCCTGTCAGCCTGCTCGTCGTCGGCACAGTTGTAAATGTTGGACTGGATCTGGTCTGGTCGTCCCAGATGCGCACGCTCGGGTTTAAAGTCAGTTTAAATTTTACTTCTGTGTGTACCTCCAGTGTACATTTTCTTTGCTACTAGTCATATTTTAATACACGTGGACCGTCTTAAAGTGTCTTGCTACTGAATCAATATGGGATGACTTGTGATCGGTATTTTGCAATAAAATAACGGCGTGTCATGCTCCGTAAAGCAGCTCTGAAGGTCACATTTTATTGATATATTAGTAGTTGAACAATTGTCTAGTATAAGTCATCGTGAGAACATGATAAATGATGTGAAATAGTTTGTGTAGAGCTCAGGCTCACTGTTTGCACAGCTTAGGAAGGTCCACGTTTAAGCAAAGTGCAAATAGATTAGGGTTTTTTAAAAACTTGTTTTTGCATCTGGAACATGTTTGTTCAAACTGGTGAATTTACAATTGTATGATACACTCTTGATGATCTTGCAGTATTTGCACAATCATTAGTTCAAACCTAAGGAAAAAATATCACATTGCCATGCTTACAATTTATTTTTATGTGTTTATTTATTGTTGTTATTACTGTGTGAATTCTCAGAGGAGCAAGAGCATGGACTATAAAAATTCAATTCAGTTCTAGTTCATTAGAGCTGCTGCCTTTAAGGAGAGAGGCAGCAGCCTTTAGCTGGCACGGCCACAGTAGGAGTCTGCACTGTTGGCAGGCCCCCCTCTCAAGCTGATCTTTCTACTGAAGGTTAATTACTGCACTGAGAGCCTTTATGTTTCCATAAAAAATGGTAAAAAAAAAAAAGTCAACAGATTAGTAATTTTTAATAGATGCTAATCAGCTTGAAGCATCTTTTGGTTTCTCGTAGTATTTTGACAGGCACATTTGTGCACTGTAATCAAGGTTTTTCAAATATATTTTCAGTGCCTCCTGACTTTGATACTGAAGGAAAAGTAGTCTTGAATAGTTCTGAGTGTTAAAGCTGCCTATTAACCAATTGCATCAAGTTTCCTAAACCTTTGATTGCCAGTAAATGGTAATCCAATAAAATCTTGTGCCTCTTATTTGACTGCAGACAAATTAGTTTTTGATTCTCTCCACATTTCTATATTTCAGCGGCTTTGAAAACATGCCGTCATAATACATTACTTAGATATTTCTGCAAATGCCACATTCCTCCTTCATCATTTCTGGATTAGAACTAGAAAATAAAATGCCTCGATGCACATTTTCAGCTGAGAGAATATCAGTGATGTGACAGATATGTGAGATCAGCAACAACAACTCAACTCTGAAAGCATCTCCAGTAATATGACACATTTCCTCTTCATGCACAGTGAGCGTCATTCAGAGTTGTAAAGATTTAGGATATCCCCATTATGGAGACAGTCTGCTTTACCTGAACAGAGTAGCATTTAAGTATTCAAAATATGCAAAGGTTTAAGTGCATTAAATGGATCGTTTGTAAGTCTCGCATCCTGAGATTTAGTTTAGTGGTTACAAAGTGACTGCAGTTATTTATTTTCAGCTAAAAAGGAAGTGGCAATCTAATTTGTACATTGGTGTATAAGAATCCAAAATATTTATGAGGTTTTTAAATTTTCTTATTGAACCCAATAATTCGAGCAGAATGATTACAATAGTGACAGCTTTAATGCAGTCTAATGAAATGCCATTGTGCAAATGAGCACATCATAAAACATAGGCTGTGCCATGACAAAGTCAATACCCTCATAAGGAGGGAGGCTGCATTTACTGCTAATCTGTTCTAGTGCAGGATAAAACTAAATATAGCATCTGCTGGAGTTTGGCCATCTGGTCAAAAAATAGTACTGATTGATGATCAATCAAAATCATAATTTTCTCAATATATGTAGTTGAACTCAGGTGATCATATGATTAGCATCAAGTGTTCTCTCAGATGTTCAGACTACATCTTGCGCTTCTTTTGACATGTTACATTAGACCTTTCGCCACTATTCTGTTTACGAAAGAAGTTGTACATTAGGTCCAGAGGGACATTGAGTCCACTGTTAATGTGTTTCTCCAAGCTTATCAAGAGCAATTCAGCGGTCTAAATACAAAACATATTAGCCAGTCAGGGTGTTGGGATGATCCATCTACCCAAGCAGCAAGACAGGCCACTACATGACTGTTTCAGCTGTGTGGTGTCAGGTATAGCTCTCTATTCATTGTGGTAGTAAATATTTAGTATAGTGTGCTGTTTTTCCTTTTTCTTGGCTTACTCTTGCCATAATGTGAATTAGTGTGACATTGCCCCAGTGCGTCATGCTATCTACAGAGATGTTGCAAGTGTATGGGTTTATGTTTTTATTAAGGATTTTACTTATGATTATATACATGTGAACGCCCCATCTCAATAACTATGGAAATTAAGGCTCATTTCATTAGGTAGGTGGTTCAAAGTAACCACCTGATTTGTTTCAAGATGGATGCTGAGTTCCTAAATTTCCTAAATGTATTTTTAGCATCCAATAACTGAGAACAAAATATTTGGGGTAATTGATTACTTATTTTGCATTCATTTATGATAAGGAGCTGTTTTTGTTTTACTCTTTTGTGCTACAAATCAATTGCACCCCCCTTCCTTTTTTCAGTGGTTTGCTGACTAAAAGCTCATGCTCCCTAATTTAGCTCCAGCTGAAATTACTGAAAGAGAGCCGCCTGTTAACCAGCTCCAGCTACAGGAAGAAAACCTTACAGGGTTTTTAGAGCTAAACCTGTGTGTTGAAGGCTGCCGCCTACCTTGGTCTCAGGATCAGTCAGGGCCTAACAACCTGGCAGGTGACTGTACTATGATGCAACATTAGTGGCTTAGTGATACAGCTTTTGGGTTTACCGTGGTTTTTCACTGTTCGCCTCCTAACCTGATCTTTTACTTGAGATAAGAGATTAACAGCTAAGAAGTCTTAGTTCTCCAGAACATGGTGTCACCACAAATTGATGATATCACAGACCACCTCCTTGCGCAGATAGAAAGGTTTTTGATAAGTCTTTGTCTTCAGTAGGGCTTCAGTAAGAAATATAGATTCTTAGGAGTGACCTGCTTTTTTTCTTTTAGGCCTAAAACATTTAAATAATTTTGTACTGTATGCCTTAAATTAATGACCCTAATGCCGGACACCGATCTGTACTTATTAACCTTATATTAAATTCTCATGTAGACTAAGCCCACATTTGAATTAGAGCTATTCTTGAATTGCTCTTAGACTGTTAAACACCATGAAGGAAGGCTGCAGCTGAAAGAGTGAGGCTAAAGATTAATTGAATGGAATAACAATTGTAATCTGACTGCTTCTTCTATAATAATTAAAGAGATTTAATGTTAAGTGTGTTAACTTACAGTCTTCATTTCTGCCAGGTTTCCTTCCTGGTTTCAGATAGTCTAAATTTATTGATGTCGTAGATGTTTTCAATTCAGAGCAAAGCTTAACGCCCCCATGTTCATACATTGCCTTTAATGTTAAACTACTCCTTTCATGTGCACTTGGTCCCCTGCTTTGGGGCAATAGTTGTTTTGTTTTCAAATGGTTCTCTGCCCAGAACCATGTGTTTAAGTTCTTAATTATTATTGTTTTAATTATAGAATTTTATTTTCCTGTGTAAAGTTATTTGCTTCTTTTCATTAGAATTATCAATGTTTCTGATTGGTCATACTCAGCAATACCACTTTAAAAGAATGTGTTTCATATAGACTTGGAACCTCTGTGTTTACTTATCCAGTTTTGCGTTTGTGTGATCACAAGGCCTGATTGTTGATGTTGGGGTAAAGCTACGTAGAGTGAATGATTTTTGGCAACTTTATACAGATTTGCTTGCTAGCTACCTTAGGGCAAGACCCTATGTTCTACACCTTGGACAAGTTGCCAGTATTTATTATTTGAATGATATCTTACATTTAAAAAATCTATTGCAACAAGACACATTTATGCTAAAATAGAGAAGCAAAATGCTGATGTGAAAGTCATGACAGGGAAGCTTTTATACACCTGGGTTTTGTTCTACTCTCTTCAGCTTAAGAGATTTTTTTAAAAGCAACGTCTGTTTATTATGGATGTAATATATACATCCATAATATTACATGTACACTGTAGTTCAGTAGTTCTCTCATCTTGCCAGAAATGTTGCGTTTGGGAAACAAGAATCAGTTCTCATTAAGAGTGTTTCAGATTTGACTGGTGTCTGTTAGTCACCTAGGTCTGAAAATATCTGTTCATTTTATTGATCTCTGCCAAGAACCATGAGGTACGAGACAGTAACTATTGTAGACAGGAGATTTATTTTTCATTCATTCATTTATGTATTTATTTAGAAGAATACACTTGAAGAAGCACCAGCAACCTATACTTTTTTTGTTTATTTTCAATACATGACATCTTTGACTGCTACAGTTCAATCAGTAATCTGGAATTTGATATTATAAACTCCTTTCCTTTCATCTATTTCTAAGAAGTACATTTACTTTTATAGGATGCCAGAAGGTGTGTATCCTCAAACATAGCTTCATTTATCAGTAGACACTGTGCCTCCAGCGGGATAAAGGTAGGGGATTCCCATCCTTACATCACAACTAAAGACTCTGTTTATTCAGACCGCAGGTCTTCACAGTGGTTGATTCTCCACAGTATCCCACAATCCAGTAGATTCCTTGACTTTGTTCTCCTCTTTATTAATTAGGGATTGACTAAAATTCATCTACACAGATTGAATGTGTCCAGTGTAATAAATACCAATATCGCTTAAAAATATTTATTTTGTCGGTCCTTTTAGACCCACAAGAAATACCTTTGTACTAATGTGTCCTATTCCTCTTCGGCTATTTTTTCCTTTAAAACACATCAACATGCAGTACAGTTAATAAACCAAACTAAATGCTAATTATTACAGTATTTAGTGCTGTGCATCTTTGCTGTTAAAGATTGAAAGTCTTTTTTGCAGCGTGAATTATTTTGTGCCTTTGATGTTTCTACATGGTAATCCTCAGGTTAGGCATGCCAGGGCATGTTTATAGCATAGATGATCTATGGTAGTCTAGTGCACCTGGCTAAAATAAATTATACATTTATGTTTTATCTCCAAAAACATGAAACAAAAGGAAAGGAAAAAAAAACTAACAAACTTACTCAGTTAGGATCAAGTTATGTTCAAGTTTTATACAGAGTGCTGTCCTCTAGACTGACAGACTGATGAGATCAGCTCAAGTTGGTTTCATCAGTGTAACGTGTATTATTCACATAGCCACCCATGTCTTTTAAAAAATTGAATTCAAATGTTGTTATGTGGTTAAATTTTGTAGATGTTATATTTTCTGGAAATTTAGTTTTGAAAACCTTCATATAAACTGATCCAAAAACAAGCAAAAATATGGCTCTCTTACTTGGACAGCATGCTATACTTGAATACAGTTTAGCTTACTGTAATTAAAGCTCGGTATAAAAGGTTTGAATGGTCAAAGCTCAGTTTAGCTCAGGCCAAGTATAGTTTTGTATTTATCTGTGATTTTACGTAAAGTAGTAAAGTGCAGTTGTTTTCGTGTGAACACACACTCTGTATATAAAAGATGGACCTACCCTCATCAACTGTTGTGAAATGCTGCCTTAAATACTTTGGATTTAGTTAACATTTTGTAATACTATTGTTCATGGAGCCAGAAGTGGCCATATGTGGATGCAAAATGGATTGACTGACACCAGCAAATTAGTGATAATTATAGACAGAAATTAAATACTACAGTTTAGTTCAACTAAACTGGAGTTACAAACATTTTGTGCAGTTAACAATAAAAGAAAATGTATTATCTGTTAGATCAGGGCTGTGGAACTCCAGGTCTCGAGGGCCGGTGTCCTGCAGGTTTTAGATCTCACCCTGGGTCAACACACCTGAATCAAATGATTAGTTTATTACCAGGCCTCTGGAGAACTTCAAGACATGTTGAGGAGATAATTTAGCCATTTAAATCAGCTGGACACGTCTAAAACCTGCAGGACACCGGCCCTCGAGGCCTGGAGTTTGACACCTGTGTGTTAGATCATTTCATTACAAACACTGTAAAAGTGAGCAACATAACAGATGCAGTTGAGAGGTACAGCTAAGTAGCTCGAATTAGCTTAGCTGGTGTAAACCCTGGTGCATGCTGGGTTAGTGAGGCCTAAAAATGTTTATTTGCACAATGGAAACTGCTCACCATTGGGCCTTGCTGCAAGCTTGTTTTATAGCTATGTTGCGCTGTTCCTGGTTTTATGTAATAGTAACACTGCACAGTTGCCCTTGAGAGCAAACTAGCTGTCTTTGATGCTGAGATCTGTGCAGGCAATACTGAGCGTGAGTCATCCAGAAGCCCACACACAAATACTTTCAGCAGCAGTTTTTCCATGCTCAGGAATTACAGCATTGTCATGAAAACAGTAGTAGCTGATGTTTTTCCTGAAAACATGAAAAGTTGTTTTCAGTATCGAAGAGGTATTTTGAGTAAATAATTAGCAGAATAGTCAATCGGCCTAATTAACAGGCAACGTTTTGTCGTGCTTCAGCAGTGTTATAATTTGTTGAGAATGGTTAACAGGATTTCCCCAAGAGGCCTGCAGTTGATAAAAAGCATATGCCATAAGTAATTGTTCAAATGCATATTAACTGCCTTTTTCTGAATTCTCATAATTTAATGTAATCATGTAAGGAAAGAAGTTAACACCAAAAAGGATTCTACTGAGTGCTCAAAACAATCGGATCAGTGTCCATCAAATTGAGCTTTGGTGCCCTTGCAAGCCAACATGGCTTTATATAATTGTTTACATAATATTCTCCTCTGACTTTGTCTGGCGGGGTTTAGCTGTGGGTGGTGAGATGCCTTCAGAAACACAAACTATGACTTAAGGTTTTTGTGTTGATGCTCAAACTAGCTGCTGTGTTTTCTATGACCACTGTGACCTGATTACTATCTCTTCACCCAGCAGCCTGTTAGAGTGAGCCATTTGTCCTTGTTTAGCACTGTGTACTTGTAAACACAGTTTTTTTTCTTTTCTCTTTTTTAACAGCCTGTAGACGACTTTCAAAGATGAGTTAAACCTGGTCTCTTATGGGGAAGTTAGATTATGTGTTGTTGTTGTTGTTGTTGAGGAATCACTATCAGTGAAATTTTATGACCTAACATGTAGTCTGGATTTTTCATTTTGTCATTAAAAAACCTTTTGTACCTCATGAAGTAAAGTGTGATTTCTCTTTTTTTTTCTTTTTAGATTTTTCATCTAATAATAGCAGTAGAGAAAACATAAATTCATATCTAACACCTAAACATTTGAGTTTCATTTTCTGGTTCATTTTAATCTGTGATCATCTGTATTCTTTTTGATGCAATAAGGTTTTTAAGAGTTTAAGCAGGGTAAAATGTTCTTTATTAAAGGGTAATATCTTATGTATTGCCATATGCTGTTTGTTACAGGTCTTTCACCTTCTCCTTCCTGTGACAAATGTCGAGGCCTAACATCTCTTAGAGGTGAGGGTGAGGACAGGTCGGAGTGTCGGTCAGCTGCATCAAGTTTTGTCCCATGAGAGTGACTGTACCATCCAGGCACCTCCAGTGACCAGGGCTGTGGCTGTGGTGGGCCCGGCCCAGGAGGCCTTTTTGCACATCACTCCAGGCTCCTGCTGACCTGTGCTGCTCTCACCATGGATCAGCAAAGAGACAAGTATGGCGACCGACAAAGGAGCACTAAAGTGTCCCAGGGAGGCCGCAGCGGACACCCGTCGCGGCCATCTGGCTCCTCCAGCTCCTCTGGGGTTCTCATGGTGGGGCCAAATTTTCGTGTGGGCAAGAAGATCGGTTGTGGAAACTTTGGCGAATTGAAGCTTGGTAAGCTGAATCTCAATCAAATGTTAAAATATTTATGCAGGACATGATTTGCTAGCAGACATGGATGCTGCAAAGGTTGCTGGAAGTATGTCATCTAATCTATTACAGAGTTATCTTTTCTCTAAAATAGTGTAATTTATTTTTAAAACATCTGAACCATGCTTTTGCTCTCCTTTCTTATTCCAGGAAAAAATCTCTACACAAATGAGTATGTAGCTATTAAACTGGTAAGTGCACTCTTGCTTTTACTGCTTGACTTCTCACATCTGCAGATGATTTTTAGAATCAATTTTAATGCTAAAGTCATTACTTTTAAATTGCTTCATTATGTGAAAAAGGTCCAATACGGAAATTAGTAATAGTAGGATCAGAAATGTTGGTACAGAAAACATTGAAAGCATGGTTTGCTTTATTGTAATTGCTTGAATATAACAGTCAGCGATAATGAGAAACTGAACTAGATGATTAGCACATTGAAAACAGAATAAAACAGATGCTTACTGTTAGTCTTTCTTCTGTGTTCAGTATTAGGTGTTGATATTAAAGTGATTTTAAGATGGACTATTTTGACTGCAATTTGCAGTGGTGCAATCGTAGTGTTGTAACTGTTCTTGAGGAGAAATGTGAGTGAGGTGTAGATGCTCAGCTAGGCGTGTCTCTCCAGCGGCTGCTGGACTGGAAATCATGGCTCCTGACTCATGCCCTTATTATTGCTCACCAGAGAGTTGTAATTTGCTACAGAATCAACGTATTAAGCTTACCAACCAAATGGCTTTTAGCTACTCGCTCTGTTGTATGGTGTGCTGACACTTGAGCTGAAAAAAAAAAAAGTTTCAATTTAAAGTGTGTTGAGTTTGAAAGCTCAGAACAGTTAACTGGAAATAAAGTTTAGAATTTGGGGGCACAGCAAAGTGACTGTTTTAGGTATATTTTTAAGTATATTCAAACTATTTTTCTTTAGCTCAAATGTGATGTTTTGTTGAAGTGTTGCTCTGAGTATTGGCCCATACACAAACATTTGCAAGGTGAAATTCATAGCATTAAAACTGCATTTATTCCAGTGTTTATGTCCGATTTATTGAACACTGGTCTGATGTGTTTACCATTCAGGAACCAGTGAAGTCGAGGGCACCACAGCTGCATTTAGAGTACCGGTTCTACAAAACACTGGGAACTGCAGGTAAGGTCACAGATTTGTTTGCTACTCCCATCTGGTGGTTTTATGTGACTTCATGATAGTGATTTGACTGTTTTGGAAGATTGGCCTAAAGATTGCATCATTTCCACAACAAGTGATTACTCTTCTCAGGTTACATATTGAAATTAAGCTGACTTTAATCTCCGGGAGTGTGTATATGACTGGATGAATGCCTACGTGCATAGAAAGCATGTTGAACAGTGACCTTGGGTGAAAATAGTATTGCCAGAGGTGCAGTTCACTATGAAAGGTGGTTTCTATTTTCACTTTCATTGGGCTGCTTTGGTTCTGTTTTGGCAATGAGTGCCAGAGTCTGTGCTGTGCTTTGGACCTGTAATGCTTCATTAGGTGGCAAGAACTTGTTTGGAGATTCAGGTTGAAACAGAAAAATAGTTTTTGTATTTTGCTGTGATCGGTTCAGGCACATGAGCCTGAACGGACCTTGCTTGTGAAGTCGCAAAACTCAACTCTGTATGGATGTCTTCAGGTTTTGGGCAAATTGTTGAAGCACAGAGTGTTACACAATGTTTCCCACTCAGGATTACTGTAGCCCTTTCAACTGGCTCAAGGGCTTGGCTCAGTTCATTAGTCAGGTTCTACTGTTTAGGCTTCAGATCAAGATAGTGTAGTTTTCCTCGTGGAGCCACTGCTGGGTCAGACAGTGCAGCAGTCAGAAGCCATCTTTGTTCCAGAAGCCTGGGTAACCTGATAAATACTATTCCAGTGAGTACTTGCATCTTGAAGCATGTGCTGTGGTGTGCTCATTTGCAGCTGCTTATCCTTTAGCTCAGTGAATGCCAGCTAAGTGCAGCGCTGATGCCCGTCCATGCTTTTCTACCAAAATCTTTACAGCTGCTACAACATTAGCACCATTGTCATGGACAACAGCTTTTTCTTTCTGTGGTGGAATGTCGAATTTGACAAGACCGTCCTCAAGCCAATCTCCAATAGGGCTGTTCGATATGACGATATGTGCCAGATGACGATATAAAAACGTCTATCGTTTCCTATGATGCTATCGTTTGTTTCATGGTGTTGTAAAATAAACTGTTTACGGCAATATTTTTTCATCGTTTTGATCGTCACTATAGTGGTTATATTAATTTCTTAAAGTTCTCTCTTTCTCTTATATTTATAACCCCACTACGGACCGACAAGCGCCTGTTTTTACGTGTTGTTGTTGTTGTTGTTGTTAGCAACAACGACGGTAAAACCATCGCGTGGCTCCGCTGTCAGCTTGTTTGTTTTAGCTCACGATCCTGTTGAGACTTTTCAAAATAAAGAATCACGTGAAAGAGTATGCAGAGAGTTTACGGATGAGAAGCAAAAAAGAGCCGTCAGGTGCTAAAAAATAAACCTTAGACTCAAACTTTGAAAGAAAACGGCGGCCGTTACAACTTATGTCTAAAAATGTATCGTTTCCTGCTTCGGTTAAAACACTGGACTCGAGGTAAAGGACGCCCAGCTGGAAACACTTCACGCAAGTTGCCCGAGATTCACAGAATTTACATAAAATGTTACATTTTTGTGATTTATATCGTTGTCAGGACAATAAATGTCTATATTGGGATATGAGGTCATATCGCACAGCCCTAATCTCCAATATATGCAGCGTGTGTTCTCGTCAGAAGCATTGTTATCAGTCTGTGGGTCTCTATTCACCAATCCTTACGAATAATGTGAAACATCACCCCTAGATACGCCTCTGTAGCGAGGCTCAAGCTAGGAAGTGCAAGGAGTGCAAGGCTCAGTCTCCTGCAAGCTTAAATTATGGTCTCACAAAAGTGTCAGTTAGGGGTTAACACCCACCACAAACGTATTGTAGTGCAGTCCTCCAAAATCTCTGCTGCATGTCCTAATCAATCAGGATTTGACTGACCTAATCGTCAGACAAGTTGGCTCAAATAGGGAAGGGAGTGACAGTGGGAGAAGCATGGGAAAAAATAAATCAAAGATGAGAAATACGTTGTTTTAAAGCTCTTTGTATGTTGTAACTTTGCTCTTCTCTGTGGCTGGCTGATGGACCATCAACAGCATGAGTAAGAGTAGCACACAGACTGGCTGTATGACAACAAACCCTCTGTGCTGGTGGACTGTCAGTCCATAACTGCCTGCGAACTGCCTTTGCCCTACCCCTGCTCAAGTGTAAAACAAGCATAAAGGGTAGTCGTCATCTTTTTTTTTTTTTTTTTTTTTTTGTTGACATCTTCATAGTTTACTTTCAGAAAGTAAGTTCTTGAAGGAACTGTGTACCTGCGAATGAAAATGGAAATTATATTCAGAAGGCCTTTGTCTTTCACCATTGAGTGTTCAAAATGCAAGTCAGCAGCATGCTCAGCTGAACATGGTGCAGCTGTCTGAATAAAGTTTTTTGCATACAACTCTGTGACTTACTGAAAAGGACAGTAACAAATAATTCATTGTCCAACAGTGGCTTAGTTTTACTGGTATAGTATATTTTTACTGGCATCAGAAAAAGTTTTGCTTTTTCTTTTGTTTGAAATGGTCTCAAACTAGTCTTCATCTTTGTCTTGTTCCACTATTTTATTCTTTCTCCATCACACCATTAATCATGATATAATTTTGAGGCTATATTTTTTTAATATATATATATATATATATTATCAAGTCTTATATATTTTGTTGTGGGCTTTTTTTCTTTCCTTTTTTCTAAGTAGCTTGTGCAGTTGAAAACTGTGAAAACGCTTGCATTGTTTGATTAAGCTGACGGTGAATTTTTAGCAATGATTATATAGGTTATTTACATATTTGGCAAAGCAGCATAACATTCATGCAGACCTGTACTTTCAAAAATCTGGCTAATCTAAGTCTCAATCTTTGCACTTGCTTGATGTTTCTCAGTTTCATAGGGAAATGTGAATCTTAAGGTTGTAAATGTTCTCCTATTCTAACCAGTTAGACCAGTTAGTCATGGACTCAACTTAAAGCCCCAATTACCCTGCAGCCCAAAACACAACAATATTATTATTATTATTATTATTATTATTATTATTATTATTATTGTTATTCACTCATGATGCCTACAATTTTTCCCTTGCACCTTTGATTTGTAGTGTGAAACAGTGATTTTAGTTTTAATGGTACCCACACTGCCAGCCATTTTTATTTTTCCAGATTATCCAGATGCCCAACAAATCTTATTATCTAGCTTTCAGAATGAAATGCAAAGCAATAACTGACAACTTCTCGGTTTGTCATAAAATATTAGTCAGGATTTGCTGACGCATCACTGTTACAGCAACCACTAGCAAGAATGTTGGCAGGATCAAATGAGCACCACAGAGAATGAAATTAAGTCATTTTTTTTTAAGTGTTGGTACTAAAGGAAATGGGTGTGAAGGCTAGAAATAATGGAACAATGGAAAAATCTTTTTTTTAAAACAGTATCCACGGTTGTCTTGGTAAAATGGGTACAATAATAATGGATACATATCAGATATATTGACCCAAACAAGAGCTTTTGAGGTCATTTTGTTTTTGTTTGGTTTTAATTTGTTACCTAATGTGCTCTTTAAAACATAGGGATGTTACAGTGCTTAGGGATGACCCCAGTAACAGTTTGTCATGGAAAATAAAAGCTTTTTTTTGTGTCGTGGGTGATCTTTGATGTGCTTTTTTGGAGCTCTACATGCATATGTGATAACCCGACAGGGAGTATAATGGCTATTGTTTTGCAAAGGCAAGGGCTGGAAAAGGCCAACTGTGCGGAAACTCATTAAATATTTAGAGAGTGGGTCTGCCTCTCTTAGTACTAACCTGCCTCTGTCCTCTTCTTCCAGATGGGATAACGTGACCTCATTTCTTCTTGGCTGTGTACTGTGCTACATTCCTCTCAGTCAATGTGGTTATCACAATGTCTGCATGATGGGGTCTTTATGAATTAATGTGGTTTGACTCAGCTGCTCTGTCAGGTGTTGTTATCTGATGCATAAACAACCATCGCTGGATATTAATGAGGATGATTCAATTAAAAATCAAGCATCATCTTGCAGTTAATATTCGCCATCGCAATCAGGGGTGCATCATCGCTTTGGTTTTACAAGCCAGTGAGATTATGACACAGCATTGTGAGGAGGGCAAAAATGTTTCTAAGAGCGTGAGGGTTTGTTCAGGGGTGGGTGGAGATTGTTGAGCTGTTAAAGGTATTGGCAGGCAGACCTCGTCATGAAACACTACACCATCTCTGTAAGCACTGCAGGGCACACTGAGTAAACATGTCCAATGGTGACACAGTTTAATAGATTTTACTGACATGTAAAGAAAAGGCCAAAAGTTTTATC